TAAACCGGGAATTGACGCAATCTCGAGTGTCACAGCGTATGTAAGTCGTCTCTAGGGTAAGTGACGATGAAGCCTCGCTGGGCGGTAGATGATCGACGTGCTAAGAGCAGATCTTCTAGCGGCATCGGTTGCTGTGAAATGCCCTGCTTACAGGGACGAATGTCCACCGCGATGCCCCATAACACTGATTGTTACCTCGTGATGACTTTCGTCGCCATGAGGGGCTTCGACAACCTGGACGATGGGGGCCTTTCTCAGGTCTATGCTCACGGGTGTTGCGGTAGATGAGCATCTCAGCCACCTGCCTAGCCGGGCCATTGTAGCCATAACCAGAGGCTACACTTGGCCAGACTCGCCATGTACCCGTACCTCCATTCTGCAAATTGCTTGTACCTGAACCAGCGAGGTTCCATAACGTAACAAGCCGACTTTGCTCATCGTGAGAGGCTCAGGGAGGCACTGCTGAAAGACCACTCCGACGACGGCGCCCTGGGGTCTCCTCATGGAAGCTATCATCCGAGCCAATATCCTCGCCAGGCTTGGCTGTGAAGTGGAGGCCAGCCACACCATGCTGCCATGCGAATTTCATGGATATGCCTTCCGATTGCTTGAATGCTCACATGAAGACACTCGGCCGAAATTTTAGACATCTTTCGACAGAGTCCGGCATACTCGGGCTCGACGCGGACATGAATGCTACACCGACTCGCTATTGCCTGGATCCGATTGACTGCGTCAGGGATTCCGTGACCAGATCGAAGCTTGTGATGAACGTCAATCAAGCACATTGCCGCAGCTGCAAATATGACTGGAAGAGCTAATCAGTTAGGGTGAAGTCCGGCGTGGCTGCGTCATCTCTAACGTCGCCCATCATGATCAATTGCAACTATGTGCACAAGGCACTAAACTGGTCTAGGTGAAGGACTTCATCAAATTTGGAACTGAGTCGAGACTTTCGCGAGCTAAGCTCCGAATAAGTTGGTAAGACAGGAAACGATGACAGACTAGTCGTGGGCAAGCCTCTGAAAGAAGTCGCTAGCCGTTTCGGACGGGTCAGTCTCAGGTCAAACACCTATGGGAAACATTTTGGTGGCGGTTTACTTTCCGGTGCCAGATCTGAAGAGCTCAGCTCACTTCCACATTGAGACTAAGGCCAGCGAACTGTGACGCTTGTGCTGTGACGCTTGGCGAACTCCTGAGGGGCCGATTCTGGAGGCAGATTGGTCCAGGGAAAACCGCATGAGAAGCTTGTTGGTCAGTACAAAAGTTGTTTGACGGGTCTGTCATCGAGTTTAAGCCGATGATTTCTCGGGCGAGGCTGACACTACCTAATGCAACAACTCGGGTATGAGATGCACCGTGAGACAGCTTCGTCCCAAGTTGCAGAAGCGGGGATTTGCTGTGTAGGTTTCCGATCGCCCGAGCCCACCGAAGACTAGACCAAATGACTGATGTTCTAAGATTCGAAGAACACAACCCAATAGACTGACATGGATCCGAGGAGTAGTGCGATATCCAGCACTGGACAAAACTGTTCTACGGTGGGCACCCGGCTGATTCGGCCGGCGGATCCAGCCAAGACCGACCTCCCGCCGTGTTGCCGAACCGGAGCATGCCGATCATCATCAGAGGGGAGTCCGGTGACCACCATCAGAGTGCCGAACCCGCTTGATGGGTCAACGAAGGCCATGTGAATGCCGAATATTGTAGCTGGGGGCGGGGAACGCTTTCTTGGTGTTGTAGGAAAGAGCCTGCAGAAGCAAATTGATGAAGATCTTGAATCTGTCCTTGCTTGTCAATCCTCCCTAGCAGGAAACCCCCAATTTGGCAAGACGGTCGCATGAGTGTCTCGTCTGTAAATGGATCTGCATGCTACATCGTGCGATGGCCATGAGCAGAGACCTGTTGGTCTCGCACGTCAATACGTGTAAGTCGGCCACCATCTCTCCAAAGAAACGACGGGGCCCACCATGTCGTTCTGAGATTTTGCTTTTCGAGCGTTTCTAGGTGGCTCTGGTCCAGACTTGTGGACGGGAAGCAAATTTCGTGGGCCAGGCCCTGCGGCACCCGTGATGTGTGTTGAGGCTTCAATGGCGATGTCTCTCGTCTTACCCTGGCCGATCGTGCCAGGTGAGACCATTTAATCGAAGTCCACTCCTTGCAGAAAGAAGCAAGATGATGACGGCGACACTCCCATGATGCATTGCAGATGCAAAGGAAACAGATCGTCCTGCAGGATCTTGCAGAAAAAGTGAACCTCCCCTTCAAAGTCGTCTCACGCCCCGCGTGCCTTTTCGGTCGAGTGCGATGTTGTGTGGGTATGTTTGACTTGAGTTGCAGGGTGAACATATTGGACTCTACGACAAACCATCTGAGATGTGACTAAAAGGGTAGAGAGTTGTTGTCTCTCAAATCTCATTTGTCGGGTGCACTTCATTCCCTTGATGAGTGAGGATGGAGAATTGATATCTGACCAAATATCTGGAACGCATTAGCCTATTCGCTTCCGGACATCCTTGCTACTTGGTAATCAGAAAAAGCAAAACCATGAGCTGGGGATCTGTCGATTGGCTGCCCAGTATGAAGTACGCGAAGTGTCTGTCGGATGTTGATTTCGATCGGTTCAGTACCATGGTTGCAGATTGCCGTCCACAAGGGCTCGTCTTTGGTGGCGATCGAGCCAATCTTGCAGTGCGTAAGCAGAGCTGGTACCGATGGGGGCGGGATAGAGTCGATTGCAGTTCCAAGATACGACTTGTGGACTAGATACGGGGGGGGGGGGGGGAAAACCCCTTCCGTGTGATGAAAGACGAGTGCCCATGATAGGTGTGTTTGCTTGTCAACAACCCCGGTCGCATAGGCTAGTAGATCAACCGCACCTCCTCATTGCCAACTGTTTGTATCATTGGAAGACGAGCTGTCGGATTTCTGGATGCAGGGAGGTGTGATTCCGGTAGCAGACCGGACGCGGTTCAGTAACCATCCCGACGTTATCACCAATGCTGCATCGGGTCACCACGGGGAAGTTGCCGGACCGGTCACAACAAGGTGTTGTCAAACTGACGAAAACCGTTGCCAACCGTCCGGAGCCACACAATCGTACCATGGGAATCTGACAGGCCGGGGGCCGTTGCTCGTTCAGATGGTGGTTGCTTGTAGAAAAAGAAATATTTCCGTATGTATCTTCTAGATCGACACTGTGCTACGGCAGCGGTAATCTGGCGTTGGTGCCTGCTTGTCCAATGTTTGCTTTTTCTTGAACCCGGCCCAGACCTTTAAAGCCGCTTGATATTAGTTGATTTGTCTCAATCATGTCTCTTCATGTCTGCTGACCTGTCACTTGTCGCTTCTGGACACGAGAAGAGCTGTTGGTGAAAAAGCAAAACAGACTTCGCATTTTCTTTGGTTTGGCGAGAACGAAGTAACGAATTGTACCACTACTTGGCCCCAACGGCTGGCTGCCATGGTTCGTCGATAGCCACATAGCATGCTGGAAGTTGGAACCAAACCTGTTCTGGGTAATTCGGCGAGTCTTCCGTCGGCCTCAGGCTGAAACTGGTTTGGCTCGTTAGGGATGTTTCTGTCGAGATAAGAAAGACTTGGTACGGACAGTGGTAATTATTATGGTTGGTGGTGTTGGATGATGTCAAGGAAGAAGCAGAAGAGAATGGTACGCGGAAGACGGCAGCTACTGTTCATGAGGCAAACTACAGTTTCGTCAGTGCCTGCTCCAATGCGACGTAGATTTAGCCACCGGCAGCCAGTTCCTGTCACGTGGTTACTCCTGCCCTCCAACTTGCGGGAACGGTTTCCAGGAGGGTTGCCAGAATGAAAAGGGCGTTTCGCATGTCATGGCAGGACATGGAGGGAAGACGCCCATCCGCAAGTCAATGGCGCCTATAGTGAGGGCTTCAGAAGGCTATGCAATGATGGAAAGGACAACTACTACATGAGACTTGCCTGTAGTCAAGAGAAGCGACTGTCAAGACTGCAACTATAAAATATTTGTTGCTGCTAGCAAATAATTCCCTGAAGGACTGTTGCCTTATAGCATACCTTTCTCGAGAAAAAACTGTCAAATTCACCGATAGTTAGATGCAGTTTGGCAATAAACAATCCAAGGTCGGTAGATATGTGAAGACTGTGTAAGCATCATGTCTACAAGGCAGCGCCCTCGCACGACATAAAGTCAACATGCAGACGCAAAATAAGACAGAATAGACTTAACTAAAAGAAATTAATACCGTACTTGGCGTTAGGATATCATTAAGAATTCTCGTGCCCCATGTGTAAGCCAAATAGGTCACCACTATCGTCACCCACCAGTCGCTCTGTAGGGCCGCACATCACGAGAAATAAACTCGTGGAAACACCAAAAAACATACAACACCAGGTATTCGCTGGTCGTCACCGACCCAACTACTAATCGGGCCCTCATTGGCTTGTCTATGGGAGAGCGGACGGGATCCCGAATTTTCCAATGGGTATGGTCGTATGTGGTACATTGAGGGTATCATGATGTCCATGTTGGCACCCAAAGACGTGGCGGACTTGACAGACTCCATGAGCCAGACACAAGAATACGCGAGCGATATGAATACAGTCTGAGAAATGAATAATAGCCCTATACATCACCTCAAATTAGGTTGTGGGATTGTGGCGTGGGTGAGTGATTCTCGATCAAGACAGATATCAAACTTGACTTTCATGTGTGGCGAGAATTCTGTGTCTACATAATACCATCAGTCTCATTAGAGATAGACATTGATGAATTGGAACCGAATAAAAATATCTAGGGTAGCAAGACGTATCTCATTCAAATGACAACGCGATGCCGAGATCTTCTCCCGGCTACCGATCAGCCAGCTACCTAGTCGGTACCAGACCGCGCGTATCGCAAATCCGCCTCCCAGCGCGATGACACACGAACACAGGGACTCACAGAACTCACCTCAAGAGATTAACTTTCACATCATATCATCATCGGTAACATCATAGACTCAATACCGCCCGCCTATCTTCTCCAGATCCGCCTCCTCCAACACGGGACTATTCACACTCCCGCCCCCCTTTTGCACCGAACTCGCCCCAACACCAGTCCCTCCACCTCCGATACTCCAGCTTCCCCAGCTACTCCTCTCTCGCGACTCTCTCGCATACGTCTCTGTTAACTCGCACAGATCCCTCGACTCCTTCTCCAGCACCACGCCCCGCGCCGGATTTCGCGGAGGAACCCATCCGTTGCTGACAGCAGCGCTGACACCATCGAAATCATCCCCCCGTTTCTGCTGCTGTTGCAGCTGCTGCAGTAGCAATTTTTTGTGAAAGGACACGGGACTCGAGGGGCTCCCGGGAGGTGCCGGAGGAAGCGAGCAGGCTGGTGAAGGACCAGGACACACTAGATCCGGTATCAGCAGCCGTTTCTCGTGAGGCCTCGGAGGCCGCATCGGCCACGAAGAGGGCGTGAGGCGCGGGGCAATGCTCGAGACGTTGGATACGGTGGTGGCGGTGCGACCGCTCGCCGCGCTGCTCATGCTCGACGTCTTTCCGGAGGATATGGGACTACCGCCAGTGCCTTGACTAAATGTATTCGGCGGCGGAGAAACGCCGTAGTACGGCTTGGTGGAGCGGTCATATTTAGGAGGGACTCTGTTGGTAGCTGTGGGCGTGGGTGTCGAGAGGGGAGACGATGAGAAGACGCCTGCCTTTTCGACCGAGGCGCCGAGAGGAGTTCCTGGGATGGAGACGTTGATGTTGATTCTCGGTCTCTCGAGGCCCACGTGGGTGGAAAGCAGTCGTCGTTGCTGTAGACGGGGTGGAGGTGTCAAAGGTGTCCGGATGCCTTCACGTATAGCGTACAAGTGGCTCGAAAGGGGCGTGGGCGATGTGTCTGGCTGGGGATTGGGATGCCCGATCTCGCTCTTTAGGCTGTGGTCGTAGTCGTCCCGTGAGCGACGGCGGAACAGGCATATGACGAAGGCTATGATGGCGAGGAATGCTATGGCGGAAGACGTGCCGATGGCGACTTTGGTTCCCGTGGGTAGCCCATCTTTTCGATGGGTTTGAGACTGATTCGCGAGTGGTATGAAGGATGTCGGGTATGCCGTCGTCGATGTTGTTAAGTGTGCCGACGTTTTTGAGGCCGACGATGCAGTCGATGATGCAGCCGATGGCATGACTTCCGGCGGGACCGTGGCCATTATCCCGAAGGCTGTGAATATCGGTTCTCTACCTCTTGAATCCGTCTTGTATGACGGTCTCATGTCCGTATTGATAAACGGTCCGTTCAACGATATCGGACAGATGGAGTCATCCGGGGGAGGTCCTGGGTCTTTGATTACTGGTGCAAAGATACTGAGCTCTAAAGTCAGTTAAGAAGGGTAAAACTCGAGAGGGGCCGACTTACCCTTGGCATACATTAATAACCAGATTTACGCTGGCTGAGCTGAAGTCAGAAGCCATACGACAACAGAATATCAAGAGCTGTCTCTCTACTCACGATCCTGTCCCAGCTCTGGTGTTCCACTCAAGTGAACTCCGCATTAAGTCGCATCGCAGCAATACAACTCCCATAAAGTGTTCTTCGCGTCCTCATCGTCTGCTAGCAGATGCTTGCAAACCTCATTGTACCTCGATCCATCAAAGCCAGGTACTACCCTTGCCAGGACCTGGGCTCGACACTCCTCGATGCATTTTTGCGGATCCGAAACATTGCTCGCCACTGATCCCCATGCCTCCTCTTTCTTGTCCAGCTCCGGATGATCATCTTCCCCCGTTTCCATGGTCGATGGATGAACCCCAGTTCAGCAGGGCTGTGATGGACGGCAAGGCGGGTTTGTACTTCGTCTCGGGCGAGTGTAGCCGTGAGTATAGTGTCTTGTGAGTCCGTGGATGAGAGGCTTTCAGGTCAGGTGAGACAGATGACCACTCTCTCAATGGCAGCTCAGCTGGCTTGTGAAGGCTCCTTGCGTGAATGGGCTTGGCAAATGTGGGAGTGATGTGTGGCATCAACTTGACCAGAACTCAAACGCAATATTTGACGAGGGGCTTACATCTTCAGCAAGGCGTCCATATCTTTGATATATACCATGTCTACTTTCTAGACATACGGGGCAGCTCACACAGGAGGCTCGGTGAAGTGAAAAGAGGCGGAAAAGGTGTCGGGAAGGACTGGCCAAGCATCACCGTGGTGGCTACACCGCACTGTATCTGTACGCTCCCGGACTCCATGGCCTTTTGCACGTAGTCAACGTCGTACAGCCTCAAGAGACTGTTGGAAGAGAGACATATGCACGTACCCGAGTGGCCCGCAACCGTGTTAGAGAGAGTAAGCCAGGACTTAATAGATTGACAAAAGCTGGCCGTAAACCCGCCCCAAATAGAAACTCAAGATAGCCCTATTGGCCTGGAGAACAGGTTCGGATTCTGCAGTACTCACTAGCTTCGAGATTCTTACCTCCGTGTTGTGCGTACTTGAAGATTCTGCATCAACAAGGGGGTCCAGGAGGGGAGCTGACATCCCCTTGAAGAGAAGCGATACCGTTTCGGCGTCCACCAAAGCTCGTATTCTTCAAGTCTCTCAACGATGGACATTCCGCTCGCTGAGATGCCACCCGAGAAGTCTTTCACCTCATTTCGTTCGATGGAGTCAGTCCTGGAACAAAAGATGCTCATAGGTTCTGCGATTGGACCTGCATCTATGGGGCTTCCGTGTCACGAACGGCCCTACTTCGCACGAAACCCAACAGGAAGCACCGCGGCGGGGACAGCATTTCGCGACCTCGTCCATACGGAGGATACACTGGCAGTACGGCGCCCAGATCTTCCCGCCCCCGCCCCCTTTTCGTCTCCTCTCTTGATCGGCAGTCTTGTTCGAAGACGGCCCGTTCAAGCTAGCCGACTAAAGTACTAAGTTTATACGGGATGGGTGTAGCCATCTTTCCTAGCAAAGGTGCTTTTGCCCGGGACGAGTGACTGGCGAGGGGTGCTACGAACCGGGCCGGGGACCACCTGGCGGCGTTCGCTGAAGAACACAGACCAAGGTATCACGGGTTCGGAAACCAATGGTTTTTCATCGTACGCGAGCTCCCACGGATTCGTTGTCAGACTTCCGCGAGATGCCTTCCGGGGTGGGTTAGCGCGGTTGTACTCGTGGTTCAGCTTGGTCATGACCTTATTCTTTGCATGCCACTTTGATGAACTACTTATGACTCTTGATCCGTTCGGGTGTCTCGGGTGCTTGAAGGAGAGTTTATCGGTAGTAGACTGTCGCACAAGCTTGTTACCCACGATGTCACGTCGCGAGTGGGATGGCTTAACAAAGACTACGAAGCCAAAACTGCAGTCGAGGAGTGATAATCTATCGATTTTCCTCTTGTTCGAAATTCCTCTTCTGACTTGGAAGGCTGAAGGGAGAAGAAACGTTTTCTGGGTCAGCAGCTCATCACCTTCTAGAAGCCTGGCCATCGTGTCAAAACCGGTTGGCTCTCGGGTTGAGACAGTAATTCATGCCTGTAGCCGTCGCACTCGCGTCATATAGACCCTTGCCTTAGTATTGTCTCGGCATAAATCAATCAACTAGCATCTACACTGGGCGACCAAGAGAACATGCAGGGCGAAACGGAGATTATGCCTATAAAGTCTAGAGTTGCGAGCGCTACACGAAGTATGACCAGCATTCACACTCAACGCAACCGCCACCTAGTTTGACGGGTTAGATTGAATAATGAGGGATCAGAAAGAGCCAAATGGACGATCACCAGCGGGTTGTAGATCGGGTATAGACTGCGGCAGCAGAAGCACGGCACAGGTGGGCCAAGGTAGGGTCGTACAACTCGCGTGGGAAAACTTCCGTGATGTCTGCCTAGGAAGCTGAAAGGCCCAACACTGGGGCGAAGATTCAACGGCGATGCCTCATTGGTATGGTGTTCGCATGGCGTCCTGTGGCTGTAGATTGATTGTCGAGGGCTGCATGGATTTTCAGAGATATCTGAAGTCATCCGGGGTGGCTGACATGCACGACGGGGCGGTCATACCTTGGTATTTCAAGGAGTGGCACTTTTACCCCTATGATACACTTATCCTCAGCTTGGATGGAGAGTAGTAGACGTTAGGAAATGTGAGTGCCACTTTGCGCACTCTAGAAGATGTCGGGGGTCTTCTCAGATGCTTTCGTATTGCTTTCTCATCCCGCAGTAGAATAGGGGGTCGACAATCTGACTTGGCGTAAAAATTACGCTGGCTGCTTCTCACATCTTAAGCTGACTGCCAGGGTACCACATCGGAACAAAAGCTACATGCTGACGACAGTAGCCTGCGTTCTGTCGAATATCAAAATCCAGCATGAAGGTCTGTCAAGAGAGCCTAAATCCTCCCTCCGCGATGAAGTACCACAGACCTAGTAAGTCCCTCGAACTTGTGCAGCCTCGGAGGAAAAGCGCCAATTCCTTCAGCCATTTGACTCCAAAGCAAGTTTCGCCCGGATTTGAGGAGCCGTCGGAAATAAGGGGTGGTAAGTAAATGGCGCGCCGCCTGGCGGGAGGCTGCAGTGAATCCGACGGGTTTCCATGATGTTTGCTGGCTCAGCTCCGCTCCACCAGGCTGCAGCGAACGTGCCGGTCCTTTATTTTCGAGGAGGGCGTTAGCTGAGCGATGTGTGCTTATGCAACCTCCCGTCGAAGGCCTTCTGAACGGGGCAAGCAAGGCTTCTTATTTTATAGGAATATGTCGATCTAGCAGAGGCGGTGATTATTCTTGTTGGAGCTGGATTTGGAATCAAGACTCCAAGTAAACCGGAAGCTGCGTATGGCTGGCGTAAGCAGTTTCCTTTTGACACTTTCAACTGCAGGTTTCTTTTTACGGCAGGGGCACAGGCATAATGAACTCTGAAAAGGATAATTAATGCCTTTCTTCAATTAATTGGCATTACAGGCAGTATCTCGCTATGTCCAGTGGCCCGCCAGCGGCAGTTTCTTTCCCTTAGAACGCGACTCGACCTTTTGAACGAAGAGTCTGATGTTTCCCTCCAGATACTTGGTGAAGAGACTTGTGTCGCGTAATGCCACTTCTGTCGTGCCGATCTCACAGATCGCCCCCGGAATCTTCAGGATGCTCTTGTTATTGTCTCTGTTATCGATTCGGCCCTCACACGGGCAAGCAAGCGTTGAAGGTGGCTCAGGTCCGCATAGTATGGGTATTCTGATTCCAATGGCCATTGCTTGAGGGTCACGTATAAAGTATGAGACGCATTATCCAGACCGTTAGTACGTGCCCAGACCTCAGCAGCATTCAGTGCCATCGACCACAACGTCTCGGTGTGCGGGTCTGACGAGTGGATGTGATAGACACCACTGTCGTCTCCTCCGAGGCCAGTAAGATTCTCTTTGGCAAACTTGACATCACCCGAAGGCTTTGCACAGAACCACAATTCGCCAATGACGAGGTGCCACTTCTCCAAGTCGAGTAGAGAAACGAGGAAGTCGACTAGTATCTCGACGTAGTCAATGTGAAGGATGGTCGTTTCCATCCTTTTCGAGTAGGTCTCATTGAGGCATCTAGGGCCACCTTGCAGTAGTTGCTCTTTCTGGTTCGATGAGTCTTGATGTGCCTTGGCCGCGAATTCCTGAATGGAATTGCTGCGTTCGACGTGGGGAAGAAATGAGGCAGCAGTTTCCTGGACGCATTTGATCATGGTTGAAGGACATTTGCGCAGCGAAGTGTCATCTGGTAAAGCTTGGTCTTTCTGAATGGCAGCGGACGAAGGCGTGACGTTGGCGGGATCGCTTTCCCTGATCTTCATCCAAGACGGGATGTCATGCTCGGTGACTGGCTTATCGTTTTGGGGATCTTCGGCCATGGTTGTGGTGAATTGATGAGACCAGTGTAAAGATGAGGCTTTTTCGGTCTTGTGACTGACCATTTGTTAGATTTCAAAAGCATTTCTCCGGTGACGGGGAGGTCAACTTACCACTTTGGCGGGCGTCAGTGACGGGATCGCGAGGCGCTTAGTCGCTGATTCTGTTCAAAGCCAGTCAAAGCTGAGTGAAGTATGCTGATGAAAGTTAGCCTCTTGATCAAAAAGTTTTCCTGGACAGTGAGCAAATCCGATGCTCAATAAGACATACTTTGGACCTTGACGGAGGAACGGAGAGCGGAAGAGGTGAAACGGAACCTGAGGGGAGAAAGGATAGTAGTGAGATTATGAAGAGAGAGAAAAGGAAGAAAAGCCTGAAGAGGTAGAAGAGTGAGATAGGTAAGAAGGGCACAGGGTGGGGAAGGAAGAGGTTGAAGGAAGAGTAAAGCGAGGAAGGAGTAGAGTCAAGAATGGCCTGAGTAGGAAGGAGATACATAAGGGAAGGAGAGAGTGGCTGGCGAGTAAGATGGAATAGATGGCGAGGTATCTACAGAACAGAGAAAGCATCTTACCTGAGCTGTGATCGCGAGTTTGGTTGACAGTAGGAAGGAGCTTTGCAGGCTGCTTGACTAGGTGCTATCCATGACGGTGGGGTCTGGTAGAATGAGTCTCGAGAAATGAAATTTCAGTCGCAGACAGGCCGCCTGTCTGGGACAGTTTAAAGTCTTGTCCAAATATTATGATGATGGTGGAAAAGTTCGGAAATGAGAATGAGTGTCGAATTGGGCTGTTGAGAAGTAGGCCAGGGGAGCAAAGGACCCAGCTATTTTGACTGTATGCCATCGTCACTCCTGGTGCCCACGCTTATGTGATGCCTGCCTTCCACAGTCGCATGCCATCATGATATTGCCTAAGGTACCTAAGTGCCAT